CCTTTAACCTTACCCCCACCCTCTCTCTCTCTCTCCCCCTCTCTCTCTCTCTCTCCCTATCTCTCTGTTTCCCTTATGCGCACCCCACCTATCTCCTACTCCCAGACCTTCAGATAGTGGTGTTCCCTTTCTATATTTAGTGAAAAGGCAAAATCATTTGGCATTTAAAATCTAAGGAGTGATTTCGGTTGATAATGTGTAATTTTGGGGAAGTTCTTCCTCCAACAATTTTCGATTTAAGACCTTCTTCTATACAACTTGATGTACAACATTGTAATTCCAGCTTATTTTCGAAAATTCCTGAAAGGTGCAAGATAGGCTCAAACGTGTAAAATTCAATAACGGTATACGAGGTCCACAAGTTTACAGGTTAACGGTGTATGAGCACTTACAGTACTTTTATTAAAAGTATGAGAGGTTTTCAAATTTTAAATGTGTGCACGGTTTTCAAAATTTCTGAGTTAAACTGTGTCAATTCAGATGTGTACATTGTATGCTTTAAATAACGTGTACATGGCATGTGCACTTTCTTTAAAGTATACAATGTACCCATTTGAATTGACAGAGTAGACGTAAAGCTTGACAACGACACGTCGAAATATTAATGAACTTGGCATCGTTCCAACTACTACGTAAACTACATGTGCATCCCACTGCAGCGCCTTGCGCACCTGTTGCAAACCCCTTTTCAATTCAAAGGGAATGCCGAGATGAATGCAAAACAATCTCAGAAGACATGGCGCTCCCTCCTCGACCAATAAATCACGCGGCTGCACAGTATTCATAGGAGCAACCCTTAAGGAAGGGGTGAGGGTGGCAGGCGGCGGCCTCTGGTGTGGACGACACGAGAGGGAGAGAACACAGCGTACCATTCCTAATATGATGAATTTCTATCTACTCACGCCGAATTTTGGTATGTTAGTTTTGTTTTAATTACAACGTTATTTACGTAACTTTAGTAAAATGAACTTTAAAAAAAAAAAAGAGGATCTACGGGTACGGATTCTGTAACGGCGTTCCGTACCCCTGCATGAATGGTTTTCTGGGAGGTGGTTACATGGTTTTCCACCGCAGCACGTTCCGTGCTTTTAATAACCCTACAGCCCCTTGCGTATCAAGGAGGTACGGAACACCATAACAGGCTCAAAAACCGACAGACATACAAATCTTATTCTGTATGTGGCAAAATATTTAAGTGATCTGTCCGGTAATCACAATTTTGAAGGATTTCTGTTTGCGCGCGAGTTTTTAAGGCACCACGTAGTTAAAAAATCAACTCCTCTCGGCAGCTGTGTCCTTTCTTGAGCATAGAACAGGACAAAACCGTTCTGTAGTTAATGAGTTGGAACTGATAGAGACGAAGAGAATGCGAGAGAGGGGGAGATGAAGCAAGACTAAACAATAATCTGATACCAAGCTCGTCAGCAGCACAGTGCTTCGCCGCGCTTCACCACGCTGCATCAGGGCGGTCGCTCTGGCACCCTCCGAGCTATTGACCCGCTAGCCTACCAGGCACCCCCTCCCCACGCCTCCCTTCACACTCTTGCCAGACAATTGCCCACCCCACCACTTGAACGACCCACCAAGCCTGCAATTATTGTCCCGAAAGCTGTGTCGGGTTGAATCGGGTTTACAAGTCGATGCTGCTCTCGTTGGATGGCACCTGGACCTAGTTGCAACCTTCGGAACCAGCACCGCTCGCGCTCATGTCTCTAATATATGTTTTTTCCTCTAGATCCATAAATAATCCCATCCCCTCCCACCGAACACCTCTTGGTTTCTAATAAAGTCGGCTTTAGCTTCGCCGATGGCCAGTAAAGTGTTATTGGTGAGAAACAACCTACGGGAGAGCCGGGGTCTTCACGCCCAGCAGTACTACGACTCGGCCCGCGCTGGCAGCGCTCCGCGCTCCCCTCCGAGCTGCCGAGAGCGGTGCGGCTCGGCACGGTGCGGCCTGTCGCGGCGCTCCGATTGGGAGCATTCAACCCGTGCGTGAAGCGCGGAGCCAATGAAAGAGCTCTCGCGGTTCCACCGGGAAAGTTGTTCTTTATCTCTCTATTATTA